TTCCTGCTTCACATTACCACACTAACTAGCTGCATATTGAAGGTTGTGTCTCTGTGAGAATTTTTTCAGCTTGGAGGAAGATCTGAACATGAGAGGTCTAGTGGCACCCCAAATAGGTTAATCCTTACTTGAGCAAGGAGTTGAACTAGATGTGACCTCCTGAGGTCCCTTCCAACCCTAATTTTCTATGATTCTGTGGTGGCCTTCTGGATTAGGTTGTCAGCAGTACCCAAAGTATGTGAATAGATGTCCAAGACTGGCATAATTTGTGGAGTATAGAACTGACTTAAAGGAGTGTGAGAGAAGCTACAGCAGGCTTTCAGAATTGTAAATAGAACTGTTACTGCTTGATTTTTTTATCATACTGATTTTAAAAGTAGTTAAAATACAAGCAACATCAATTTTGTTTCAACACAAATGTGTAATAGAACTTACTTCACCACTTTGAAAGTCCCTAGCCTTGTCAGACTTCTTTTTACTGGATCTCCTGCTGTGTTGTTACACTGTTATAAAAGCAAGGCGCACCTTTTTTACATTCGCTGTTGAAACAACTCACCAAAGTGTGACATATATTCTGTCAGTAATGTCCTTCAGTCCCGTGTGGACATCTTTCTGGAAGCCCAGCCAGAGGTTGCTTCCTTGGTTATGCAGGAAATCAAACTAGATGGTCACAAGGGTCCCTTCTGGTATGGAAAAGCTATGAATTGTTAATTGTTTATGTATTATTTAGACTTAAAATATTGACCTTGTGTTTATTTGTAGGACGAAAGTTTTTATTATGTACTTTTTGAAAAATGAAATTCTTGCATGTTAAATTTTTGTGTATACTCTGTTGCTGGAAGGACCTTCCATGGGAGTCCGTCAGCAGGATACATTAGGTCATATTTTCACGGAAATTTGTTTTTTATAGTTCCAAGAACAATGACATCCACCAGCACCGTGAGGAGTATGTGAAGCTGAAACAGCAGCTGGAGAATAAACTCCAAGAGGTTGAAGGAGAGCTTGTTTTACAGAAACAGGTACAGGGGTTTACAAAAGAGTTTTGTGTTTTGGGAGCCACGCTAGCTAGATTTTTCTACATTATAATCCTTCCGTTTTTTTTTATAGGAGGCTGAAAGGATGCAGTATATCTCAATATCCTGGATAGGCACTTAACAAGTAATCATTTAGACATTCCTTCATAGCTGTAATGTCACATTCATATGAGATGTGCAGTAGCCTTGCTTTACTGTTCTGTGTGTCAGCAGTGCTTGTGGTTCTTGCTTTACTTACTTGTTTGGCAACCTCTCCTTCTGAGGAATCAGTAAGATTGTGTTTAGTAATTTGAGAGAGTGTAAGATTCTTATAAGGATACATCCAGTGCACTGTGCTAAATTTGCCAACCTTGAAATTTCAAGGAAGGTCAGCTCCTCTTAATCAGAAACGGGTTTAAGCAAACATATAGGCTGTATAATCACAATGACATGCCAGCATCCTGTATTTATAATTTCAGGGTTCCTTTTTTCCCCACAGTTGAGGGGATCAAACCTGGGTAAGCCATTAACTGTCGTAGACTGCTTGTTAACATGGCTATCCCAAGGAAGCCATAAATTGCCGCAGTATTATTAAGCGGTTTAAGCACCTAATTAATATGTAAAATGAAATATCTTAATGAAATAAAGAAATGGACAGCAAGTAATACTGACTATATACATGTTTCTAAATAATACCTTTTAAGTACTTAATCAGACTCTTAAACTGAAATACCTTATGAAAATAAAGCTGTACTATGCACAACATGAATTGTAACTAATACCAACTATATACACTTTATTAAAGGATATTATGAGAGAGAGTTTACTGAAACTGAATGTTAGCCTTGAGACAGGCAGGTCATGCTATGTATTAAATGTGAGCATGCTGCACCCAGCCACAGTCATTGGAGATATTCTCTATCTCTGTGGGCTGATCACTTGTCTATACACTGGGATGGCGCACTCAGCATCTACCGAGGTTGTTGGACTTGTGAGACAGTGTCTTACCAGGGCATAAAGATGTCAAAACCAGTTACAGACAGACTCCCAGAACACAGGCACAGACAGAGGCATCTGGCACTCTTTGACAAAGCTCACGTAGGCAGCATGTTCATCGTCATGCTCTTTCCCCCATCCTGGGATTGCTTTTAGTAGCTGAGGGTCAAAACTCAGCAAAGAGATCTGGTTGAGGTCCAAAATATAAAAAGCCCTAAGGAAGGGGGCAGCTGGCTAGCTGAACTGTGGTGGAAGTGACAGGTCGTACCTGTAGTAATGTTTCAGCTTTACAGCTACTGCCTGGACTAGCTCCCTTCTGCTCTGGTTTTCAGAAGGGCAGCTTGACAGTTCTTGCAATGCCTTGTCTTTGTCCCAGCTTATCAAATCTGTCACCTTATTTTGTGCATGATGGATTGCAACTTGCCGGCCTTCAAACCAGGTCAGGAGTTCCATGAACCAGGTGGCAATGTCGGCCACAAGCATCACTTGATCTTGAATGTTGCCTTGCTTGAAGAGTTCGCAAAGCTTTAGCATGCACTGTGTGCTGGGTGCGATTTCCAGCGCCTCACTCACAAACTGGTGGTAGTGCTGTGTGTACTTGGTGTGGTAACGGACTGTGTTGAACCAGGAATTCCACTGTATGACCACAGGTTCCGGTGGCAGTGGCACAGTGGCATGTGAGTGCCCACTTTGACTGGCAATGGACACCTTGTACCGAACCTTATGACCTGGACAGTGCTTGAAGCATTCCTTGGAGTACTCGGAGAAAGCCTTGCACGTATACATGGCATTGTCAGACAGGAATGCTGAGATCTTGATAAAGTCTATGCCATAGCTGACAGTTACCTTCACGATAGTGTGGGATACAGTGGGAAAATTGACAGAGGTGAGGTGGACTGGCTGAGTTTGGTTAGTCCAGCTCCCCAGTACAAATGTGCAGTATGTAGTTGTTCTGAGGGTCGGTGGCTTAGCTAGCCACAATAGAAAAGGAATCATACTCTGCCCAAGGCAGCCTTTGTGGACTCTACATGTGAAGCAATCACTGAGGGAGTTAGTCCTGGTGAAGCTTGTTGGCACACAAAACTGCTGGTGTTGGGCACATTTTGTTTTGGGTAGTTCCTTAACTTGGGGTGATCAAGTTTCTCTAGTGCAGTGGTCACCAACCAGTGGATCTTGATCCACCGGTAGATCCCGGAGCCTCTTGCGGTAGATCTCAGAGCCACTTGGAGTTGATCTGAGGCTTGGGTGGGGGGCTGAGTGCCCACATGCATGCATGCGCATGCCCCAGGTCAGTCCGTGGTGGAGGCAAGGGGCGGGGGCTAGATTGAGGCCCCCGTGGTGAGGGACAGTGCCTCAGAGGCAGGAGCAGGGTTAAATTGAGTGGGGCCCTGGCCGGGTGGGACTTACCTGCTGGGTGGGGTGGGGGAGGGGCTGGGGTGGCACCAACGCAGGGTGGGTCTTGGGTTGCTTTTAAATGCCAAAGGTGATCTTCTACTTTAAAAGGTTGGAGACCACTGCTCTAGTATGATGCTGGCTGCTGTAAAAGCCTCCATGAGGGGAAAAAGCCATCTCTCGCCTTGCCAAGCCACTTTCCATGGTCTCTTTAAACAGGGAGGACATGGTCACTTGCTTCTTGCTCTGACCTTCAGCCTTTGCAGCAGCCTTCCTCTTCATGTGTGCCTTGGACTTCAGTTGACAATTGATGCTGGATTTCCTGGACACACCCAGAGTTAGATTGTAGATGGTACAGAAGAGTCTGCCACCATCTGTGTGCAAGGTCCCTGCCGAATACTGTCTTGTATGGTCCACCGCTAAAACATATTTGGCAGTCTTAGAAGATTTTTTTTTTTATTCGTATCTTCTCTTTCTCGTGCAGAGTGACCAGGCATGCTACAGGAGCATGCCTGCAGGCGCTTTAAAAGCTGGTGCCAAAACCATCCCTTCTTCTCAGGCTGGCCCCTGACTAGCTTCTGGACTGAGCCTACATCAGGGGCTCAGCTTTCAATTTGCTCCTTCTCCCCCCTCTTCTTCCCCACCATGCCTCAGGATGCCAGGGCTTCCTGCCCTTTTCTGTTTGCAGCTCCCCTCCCCCTCCCCCATCCCGCTCGCTGACTGTTTTCGCACTTTTTTTCAGTCTCTTCATTTTTGCAGTCCCTGTGCTTTTTTGCAGGGGACCTACTGATTTCATGGTTTCTGTGAAAATTGCAGATCAGGTAGGTCCCTATATGTAAGACATTGTTTTATGTAATGCAGGAACTTTGTTTTCACTGACCTGTTTTTTTTTAAATTCCCCAATATTATCGTGGCACTGGTAGTGTTCTATTCATGCAAGCAGTGTTAGAAAATGTAACATATATCAGATACCTGGTTTTAGTCAATGTGTTGTTAAACTGTTTTCGGAGCATATTGAAGTAACGCAGTGGTTAGAACACCAGTGATGGTTGGGACATGGCATATACTGGAGTACCTATTATTATATGTATTAGTGAGGCTGCACTAGCAGTAGCAACAGTGGGAAATTGTTTGCAGTGAGTGTATGCGTATGCACGTGTTCGTGTGCATTCATAGAATTACTTATATACTGTATTCCACTACAGGAACTGCTGGCAGAGTTTGATGCAGAAATGAAAAAGAGAGAACTTGAGTTTCAACAGCGGGAAGATGAGACGAGTAACTTAGTTTTGTCTCATAAACTCAAGGTAATTCTCATTAAGCTTCTTTTTTTTAACCTAAAAAGGGCACATTTTATTACTTTAATCCCAAATTTTATTTATTCTGTAAATACATATAAAAGTTATGTACTTCCTTGCTTCACCGGTAGATTGAGGGTGTTGTTCCAGGACAGTAGAAGATAGAAATATTTGAAGGGTGAATTTTAAATTTTGCTCATGGTTATCACCAGTGAGAAAAAGTGTATATGGGTCTCTGGAGGCCTTGTCACATTCTCACAAAATTAGTCAAGAAATGTACAAAAAGCATAGATTCTGCACAGGAAGGTCAGTTCAATGTAATTTGAATAAGATCTTTCTGTTACTAATATCAGTTTATTTTAATAAGTTGTTTTAGTTTTTTAAAAGGGCTTATGAAGTTTATACCACTTAAAGCCAGTTAAAGTATATGTTGACCCTTTTGTAATAAATAGTGTGACAGAAGGTCGCCTAGAGGCCAGTCACTACTTCGGTCCACCCACCTGTCTAGGCAGGCCAACCATCTGACTCTCCTGCCACACCTTTGTTGTATTTAAATAGTTGTTTGTAGGTGGGAGACTGCCCATTTAATTCCCTAATGCCAAGGGCATAATACACAGCTCCAACCTTCCCTTTACTGTGTCCCATGCCTTGCAGATGGCATCCAAAAATGACTTCCAACTGTCCCGGCCCCATTGCTGGGTTGCACTCAGCCTCTGGCCCAAGCTTGGCCTCAGGTGTCGTTAGACATGCCTGGACCACATGCCCCCTCACTGGGGCCTCTGCTCTGGCTGGCCTACGCATAGTCCTGCAGGCCCCCTCAGACCCTACTCTACACGGCCTCTGGCAGCCCTCAGCTCTGCCCCCTTACTAGGGCCTCAACTCTGCCACCTCACTAGGGCCTCTGCTTCTGCTGACCTACGCATAGCCCTTCAGGCTCCCTTGAACCTTACTCTACGTGGCCTCCAGCAGCCCCGTCGTCCCCTCACTGGGGCTTCTGGGCCTTACGCCCCATGGGCCTCCGGTCCCTCTAAGTGGACCTGCGCCCTGTCTCAGGACCCACTCAATGGGCCTGGAACCCATGTTAGACCCCATTCAGTGGACCTGGGCCTCTGTGCTTTTCTGTCAGGGTATGCTCCCCTCGCCTTTCCCCTCCCTGGGATACCGCAAGGCAACGGGGGCTGAGGCTTTACAGTGTCCCATCCTCACCTTTCACTGGGGAGGCACAGGTGTGGCATTTCCTGGAGATTGCCCCACCACACCATCCTATCCCAGCAGGGTGTAGTTTTAGGTCATGCCCCAGGACCAGGAATGTCCTCCATCCCCATAGTTCCTATCCTGAACTTCCAGGTGTTCTGGGAGCAGCAGTACATTACTCCAGCCGGAAGATGTTCACTCTTCAGCTCCTCCGTTGCAACTCCTGGCCCTGCTTCCTAGGCCTGGTTTTATACTCAAGCAGCCAATCAGGCAGCCTTCTAGTTGCCATGTCCTCCTCCCCCCCCCGATTGGCTATGTTATTGCCTGCAGGCTGCTCTGCTGCCTGCTCAAGCCCTTGCACATAGTGACAAAGACTTTATTGGTGTGTGTGTTGTTGTGACCACCCTGGGGCAGGGATTGCAAACTTTTCTCCAAGTGAGTTAGTCCCTAAGGGCCATCTATACACATACCCTGGGGGGGAGGGGAGCACTTTAAGTAGAGTGGCTCTGAGAGCTGATCTAATTAAAGCGCCCACAGTGCTACGTATATTCAGCATCCCATACTTCAAAATGACAGTGGGGGCATTTTAACTAAAGCTCATTCAATGAACTTTGGTTAAAGTGCCCCCACTGCCATTTTGAAATGCGGGGCCAATGAATACATGCAATGTGGAGACTGCTGGAGTGCGCTAATTAGCACACTCCAGCAGACTTGATTAATCAAGTCTGCTCCGAGGTGTGCCAATTGGCACTCCAGCGGTCTATTTCTAGAGGCTTTTTTCTAGCTTTAAGGTTTGTTCTCTTTCTTTGAAAGGTTAACTTATTGAGCAGAGAACTGGAGGTTTTGAAAGATGCTGGGATGAAAGCTGCAGAATCATTGCAAATGGCAGAAAGGACTAATCTGAGATTGGAAAAAGAGCTCAAATGCAAGGACTGGGAATTTAAGGATCTTGCAGCTGTAAAAGATGCTCGGTATTGTACGGCTCCAGTTATAAATGAGGGAAATTGCTTTGCAGCTTGCTATTTACTCTTTTCCTTTCCATACTTCTTTCATCTTTTAGGGGCAGAACTGCTACTTTTTACTTTATTTCTTTTCAAATGATTGCTGTTTTAGAATAAAAGAATTAGAAGGTAAACTTCATTCAATGAACCTGATGTGGAAAAAAGAGGAGGAAACGTTTAGAAGAAAGTAAGTATTGTTTATGTATAACACTGAGAATAACAGTGGTTTTTTATGTTCTTTTAAAGTAGAATTTTTCACTCTGGGACAAGGTGCTGGTTTTGACCTATAAGGCCCTAAACCAGTGATTCTCAACCAGGGTGACTTGAGATCCTCTTAAGGGTTCCATGGGGTGCCACACAATATTAGCAATTTTAGGTGTGCAATGAGCATTCATAAGATAAACCCCAGGATTTCAAATAGGAATCCATATTGTCAAAAACATTATGAGCTGATGTGATCTTTCTGAGTTCTATGCAACAGAAAAGTTGTTTTATTATTTTTCTGTAATAAAACAATGAGTGAAAACTAAGATCTGGCGTTTTCCAAAGAGTGTCTTGAGTCTATGGAAGTTGAGAACCACTGGCCTAAGTGGTCTGGGCCCTACCACCGCTTTCTTTATGCCCCGTCTTGATCCTTAATGTTAGTCGAGGCACCTCCTGCAAGTACCATCTGTGACCCAAGTTTACCTGGCAGAAACACGTGGGAGGTCATTCTCCCCTGTCACCCCGCAGCTTTGGAACTCCCTCTCCCTTGAGGCCCACCTGAGCCTGTTGTCAATAGGGCTGCTTTGCATGGAGGAAGTTAAGCAACAGTTTAAATGCTGTGCTGAATTGGAGCCAGTCTCTTTACAGTTGTATATCATAGATCTCTCTTCTTTTGTCATTTTAGTCCGTACTGATTTATTCCTTTGAACAGCAGTATTTCCGGTGGGGAAAAAGTTAACTTGTTTTTGCTGATAGATGAGGTTCAGTCTAATGCTTTTAATTCTTGATCTGTCAGCTTCTATGTTTAGTTCTCTAGACTAACAACAAACTGGGCATGTCTACACATTGCCCTACAGCAACGGAACGACACACTACATCACCATATGATACGCTACAGCTATGTAGTGATCACATGTATCTATACGTCATCACCAGCTATGTCACCATAGCAGCATGCTCCCCTTCTGTAGGATGCTGCTACGGCGATGTAGCTGCAAAATCTAAGCATGTGCTGCATGCATGCTGCAGTAACAGCCTATACTGTGCTGTGTTTTAGTACTTCCAAAAGAAAGTACTAAAGCATGACACAGTAACAGCGTTGCTGTGTGGCAACGTGTAAATGCGCCCACAGTTGACAGGAATATTTGTTCGTTCTCTTCAACTGCTCTGTGGTGCAGATCATTTGGGTAATTGTGCCTCTTTATTTTAAATCTTGGCATCATGGGAAAAACCTAAACAAACAGTAATCTTATTTTGCATATTTATGGTTTTTAGACATGAAGTTCTGGATCGCTTTGCCAAGGAAAAGGAAGCAGTACTAGCTTCAGTGAAAGAAGCTCATGCTGAGCAAGTACAGAAGTGGGAGAATCATATAAGAGAACTGCAAATAAGCCATGAAAATCTGGAAACAGAATTGCGTAGAAGTGAATGGAGTCAAGCAGATTGCTTGAGAGAGAAAGATGCTTTTATTGAAAAGTGAGTATGACTTGATTTGTCTTGGAGGAATTCAGAACATCAAGGGCAGTGTTGTGCATCACTATGAATTTGAATAAAAAAGTATGCAGGGGTTTCGGTTGTAGCCGTGTTGGTCTAAGGATATAGGCAGACAAGGTTCCTTGGGTGAATTTGATATCTTTTATTAGACCAACCCAAATGGTTGGAGAATAGTTATTAAGCAAGCTTTCGGGTTCAAAACCCCTTCGTCAGGCTCAGGAAGCTGCAGCAGTTGGTGTGCGCTCTTCCTGGATGGGATGAAAAGTGAAGAAGCCAGGGGCTGGGCTGGGCTGGGGAGTCAGTTGCCAGGCAGATTATAATGTATCAAAAATCCAATGTCTATGTTTAGTCCCTGATCTCTAGTATCCAGCAGGCTGATGAAATGGAGCTCATAGGCTCGTCTCTGGGAAGTGTTGTGTAAATTTCCCTTGAGGATCAGGACTGAGAGATTGGAGAGAGAGTGGCCCTCCTGTGAGAAATGTGCCCCCACCGGTAATTGGGTGTTTCTGTCTTTGATGGATTTCCGGTGTGCGTTCATTCTGGTGCGCAGTTGTTGTCTGGTCTCTCCTACATATCTTCCATCAGGGCATTTGGTGCATTGGATGAGGTATACTACATTTCTGGAGGTGCAGCTGTAAGATCCTGGGATGCTGATGGCTCTGTTGTGGGGTGTAGTAATAGTGGGGGTGGTGGAGATGTGGGGGCAGGTTTTGCATTTCTTGTCATGGCACGGTCTGGATCCTTTTGGTGTGTTCTGGGGTTGAGGAAGTTTGCTTCTGGTGATGAGGTTGGTGAGGTTCGGTGCTTGTCTGAAGGCTAGGATGGGTGGCTCTGGGAAGATCTTTTTAAGAATAGGGTCTTTTTCTAATATGGGTTGCAATTTTTTGAGGATTTTCCATACAGGTTCAAGGGATGGGTGATAGGTCATAACTAGCGGTGTGCGATTTGTGGGTGTTTTTCTTCTGTACTGCAGCAGTTCTTCACGTGGTATCCAGGTGGCTCTTTCAAACGTGCGATCTACCTCTCTGGAGGAGTGTCCTTGCTGGGTGAAAGCCTTTTTAAGATTGGTGAGGTGGCGATCCCGGGTGTTCTCTTCAGTACAGATGCGGTGGTATCTGAGGGCTTGGCTGTATATCACTGCTTTTTTGGTGTGTTTCGGGTGATTGCTGGTTCTGTGCAGATATGTATGTTGGTCTGTGGATTTCTTGTATACTGTATAATAAAAAAGTATAGTTGTCCAAGTTAGACTCATGCCCAGGTTTACAATTTTTCAAATAGATCCAGTGTTGTATTCTTTCCTGGGGGAAGGTATCAATATCATGAAATGTTGCTCTGTAGAGAGCTTTGTTCAGTATAATGTTATATGAAATAAAGCAGGACTCTGGAGAACATGCCTAATTGCCTAAAACTATCTAGTCAGTGAGGCAGGGCTGTTTTTTTTTGTTTGTTTGTTTGTTTTTTAACAGAGTGCTTTGCTCAATTGTGTCCATGCACAGAGGGGGCATTGTGTTCAGGACACAGTATTCTAGCACTAGGAAGCAGGGTTTTTATTTGACCTTCCTATGTTAAAAGACCATTAAAGATAAAAAGCAAAGCATTCTAGAGAGATACCAAAAGTAGGTTACATACACAATTTTTTTTTCTTTTGCTGTTTCACATCTTTGTTACAGTACCATCATATGCTCTTATTTTTGTGGTGTCCCTGCCTTGTTCTGGATGCATACTGGATAATGCAGTGTGAATTAGGGAAGAGATAGGGGAAAGATAAATGAAATTCTTCTTTACATCTACAAGTTGTCAGAGCCTCACAAAATTTGTACCAGGCTATTGAAGGAAGTGATTAAAGAAATTTTGGCACCATTAGCAACAATATTTGCAAAGTTGTGGACTCTCCGCAAGGTCCCAGAAGACTAAAGAAGGGCTTACGATGTCTATCTTTAACAAGGAGAAAAAAGAAGACCTGGGGCATTGAAGTCCATCAGCCTGGTTTCAACACTTGGGGAAGCTACTAGATCAACTTATAAAAATATATAAGCACCTAAAGGAGGAAGACGTGATCAGCAGGGATCCTGATTTCCAGTCATTATAACAGAATAAATTTGAAATATCTATATATTTTGACATTTGACTTTGCATTTTTTATCATGGAAAATCAGAGCTCCCCCTGCCTCCTTTACTTTACCTTTACCTGCACCCCCCTCCCCTGCTTTGTGGTACTGATCAGCCCTGATATTCTGGTGCCCTGCTCTTGCCCAGGCCATTGCTCCTCGCTCCCAAGCCACAGTCCCCCCAGCCCTGCCAGTCGCTCCCGACCCACAGTCATGTTCTCCTCCCCCTTACTCCTGACCTGCAGACTTGCAGCCTCCCACCTCCCTGCTGGTGCCCCTCACTACCAATCTGCAGCCCTCTGTCCCCATCAGGGCCCCTCAGTCCTGACCCACAACCCCCCTGTCTCCCCTAGTCCTCCTGGAGGCAGCCCCCAGATTCCAGGACCCGGTGGCTGCATCCTGCCCACTCCCTGTTCCCTGCCCATGGGCACCAGCCACAGCTGACCAGCAGTGCCCAAGCCCCAGCTGCCACGGCCAGAGTGGAAGGAGGTGTGTGGGGACCCCCCCCCCCCGTTTCCCCATTGAGCCTGTGGGGTTGGGGGCAAGGGTGGGGTAGGATGTGAGCAGACCACTGCATGGCTTGGGGCTCCCCACCCTGCTGCCCCCCACTCAGGGGCCTCCAAGGCCCAGTGGGTGGGATCCAGTGCAGGAAGGCAAAGCAGGTATGGGGAAGCTCAGTGCTACCACCCCCACTACCACCAGGAGCTCCATGCCAGCTGAACTGCTATGGTGAGGCATTCCCTGCCTGTCCGGCAGCAGTGGGAGAGGCAGTGGCAGCGTGGTGTTCTGCTCCCCTGCTGCTGCTGGGTGGGCAGGGGGTGCCTCACCTTGGTGGTGCACCTGGTATGAGGCTCACAGTGGTGGCAGCGGCAGCAGTACTCTGCCTCCCCACCCCACTCCACCCTCCCGTGTCAGGTCCCGCTCACTGGGCTGCAGAGGTGGCTCATGCCCAATGCCAGTCCGGCCATGCTGTAGCCCTGCACCCCACTGTACATGTAGAAATCTGGGGGGCACATACTCCCCATTCTCCCCCCAGGGACTCTTGCCCCACGTCCACCTCCCTCCATGCCTTCTGCTGCTGCCAATGCAGAGGGTGCTGAGGTAGTGGGCAGGATGCATGGCACAGGGCAGCTCAGTCCATAGCTCCTGGCTGCCAAGAGGGAAAGCTCCGCACTGCACGTGCTGTCCCATACCCACCCCAACCACATTTGTGCGCTCTCGGCCTCGGATCACCTTTCCCCACTCCCCCTGCCCCAAGCAGCTTGTTGCAGGCTGGAACTCTGCCAGCCTGCAAGGGGATACCTGTGTTTTTCTTTGTTAAAAGGGAAAACCCACATTTTTCTCCTTTAAGGGGGAAACCCAATGTTTTTCTATGGGAAATGGAAAACCTGGATCCTTGGTGATCAATAACAGGCAATATGGATTTGGTAAGAAGAAAACATGCCAAACCAATTTGATTTCCTCTTTTGACGGAATACCTAATTGCTTGGATGAAAGGAGTTGGACTCCTTTTCCTTTTAGGCTTTTGATTATAGAGTCCTAGAGAAGGAGAGCTGGAAAGGACCTCCAGGGGTCATCTAGTTCAGCCCTTAGCCTGAGGCAGAATCATCCCTATCCAAGCCATCCTCTAGAAATCTATTGTCTAACAACCTATTAGCAAAACTATACAGTTAATCCTTATACAATCACAAGACATAACACCCTAATCTGCCACAGATAAAGCAGGTAAACCATCGTGCTGCTGCCAAGGTTGTTAAAATATGCTTGAGTGATCCAAGGAAGAGGCCCATGCCCCATGCTACAGAGGAATGCAAAAGTCCATACCAATCTGACCATGGGGTAGAATTCCTTCCTGACCCCAAATATAGCAATCAGTCTGACCCTGAGTGGAGGAGTAAGACCCACTGGCCAGGAACTTTTGGGTTTAAGTCCTAGCAGGAGCATTAGCACACTGCAGTCAAAATCCTCCGCTGTGGCTGCATCCAACACCCAGTACTTCTGAGGAAGGCTTTTAAAAAAACCCAGACATGTAACAACCAGAGGAGAAAAAAGTTCTCTTCTAGCCCCATGTGGCAAAGCCCAGAAGTCTGGGAAGTGCCCATTGTAGAACATAAATGTAGCTTCTTGAATGCTTCCAGGGATAGAGATTCCACAACTTTCCTAGCCCGTCTATGCCACTGCCTCACTGTTCTAATAGTGAAGAAG